TACTGGGTGTTTAGAAAGCCTCCCTCGACGCCCAGCTGCACTGTGAGGAGGTTCTGAGAGCTCTGGAGGTGGTTTTTGCCCATGGAGGCCTGAAAGCAGTTGGAAAACAAGTTTTTGCGGGTTACAGTTTAACTCTGTTATTAGGTGGCTGCCTCTGGCTGGGAATTCACTACAGCAGGAGCAGCAGGGTGACTGCGCTGCTGGGGCAGGGGGAAGGAGCTGTGCGTCCTGCAGGCAAATTAAGGGAGCAGTGTGGCAATTTCTCCTGAGTCCCCTGCAGTGGCCTTATTAACCAGTTACACTGCCACACATCCCCAGTCAGTCATGTGGAAATTCACTGTACAGTTAATTATTAAAGGTGCTCAGGCCCGGAGCAGCCTGTGCTGTCACAGTCTGCCAAGTCGGCGGTGTTGCTGAGTTTGCCTAGCCCGAGAAGGCTGGAGATGTAATTTTGAGAAGTAGAGAGCATCTGTGTGGTTCCCTGCTCAGTTTCTGTAGAGGGAACCTTGGCTGTGGGGGGACAAACTGCAGTGCCTCCTGTCCACTGGCATTACTTTTTGAAAAGATATTAGTTAATTTATTGAAAGGAATAAACAATGAATTTACTCAGTTGAAATATGTTTGCTTCATTGCTTTGTTCATGCTTTTTTCAGGAGCTCAGAATTCACAGCCTTAACTCAGCTCAGAAGTCACATGTTTTGTATGGTTTCATGTTTAATAAGCCAAGTTTTCCCAGTTCTCTCTGCTTCAAACCAAGCAGACTGGTTCCTTCAAAGGAAGCCTTTCTAGAGGGGCTAACGGTGGATGTTTTGGGACAGCCTTTCCTGTGCACATTCCTTGCAGCATTCACTAGCAGTGAGGTGGGATGCAGCAACCTCCAGCTGGAGAATACAAGCTGGAGAACTCCAGAGCCAAATTCAGCTTGTGTGTACCACTGCCCAGGAGCAGGTGCTGTGCTGGAGTGAGGTTGTCACACTTTCCTTGCACTTGGGGAAGGAGAAGAGGGCATGAAAATATGTCTGTGGCAATGTGGGGCAACTTCTCTGAGACCAAAACCGAAGTAGGAAGTTACTCCGAGACTGCCTGTAGTACTGTCACCTGGAAATTGCACTTTTCAGTTTTGCTTACTGTGCTTAAATAATAAAATTATCTGTGTTTATTTATTTATATTTATTATTTCATATTATAAAAATTTTATTTATTTATTTATTTATTTATTTGTTTATTTATTAAATTTATCTGGAAAATGTGTTCAGGGTCAAGTAACCTCCCTGAAATGAGCCCAGAAGATTTTTTCTTTCCTTTAGCACTGGTTGTTTGGCTGTACACATCCCTCTCTTGGGTCTGGTGCTGGGTTTGTTAATGTGGGTGTAGTCTGACCAGCTTCAGTTTGTATGAGGAAGCAGGAGCAGTCTCATTGCAAGTATGCAGAAAGATGTATGAACTCGGTGAAATGTTTTGTGACAGGGGAAAAGAAAGATCCGCTCTCTGCTAGGTGAAAATGTGCTGTGTATTATTTTCTTTTGCTGGGAGTCCTGGTTTAAAAAAATGGGCAACAAAAATCCTGCAACACAATAACTCTATTCTTTCAGGTGTAGCTATCCATAGGATTGTATTGTAATCCAAATACCTCAAAATACTTTAAAAAAAATCTTCCAAACCCCACAAACAAGTCAACCCAGTAAGAAAAACAGAACCAAAAAACCAAACCATCCCCAACCACAAAAAACCCCACAACCCCAAACCATCAAAAAACCCCTTACAACACAGCAGTGCTGTTACAATAGAGGTGTTGTGGTATTTTCCCTTTCTCTTCAAGGTTTGTTGTGCAGCTCTGCTGTGTGTGGGGGTTTGTTTTCATCTGGGTGGGGGGAAATACGTTCTGTTTATCAACTTGGGTTCTCAAAGCAAAGGCCTCCAACAGCTGGATGTATTGGATAGTTCCATGCTGTTTGGATGGATTTCATTGCATATATGTTGGATAGAGTGTGCTTCTGCCTGAAATGCCTTCTGAGCACTGTGAGTGTGTGGCAGAGGTCTTTAAGCAACCTCAGGTGTAGGATGCTGCAGGGTTTTATGTGCCTGTTTCACAGGATTCACTGGTTATGTGAAGATACTGTGGCTACTCCAAGTGACATTGGCATCTAGAAGTGTATGTTTTGAAAAAGACAAACAAAATCATGGGAGTGATGAAGAAGTGTTTAGGGGAAGGTAAGAAATTAGGTGATTATACAAGTCTATTTTTATTTGTGGGGAGTAAAATTTTATTTTAGTAGTTCAGTCTGTAATGATTGTATCAAAGGTTGTTCTTCCAGCATATGTTATCTCTTCTATTTAATGGTCAATTTTCTTTTTTTTTAGGGTTTTTTTTTTTTTTTGAGTTGCTAAAAATGTTCTTGTAATAACTCAGTAAACACTTCTTATCTGCAAACAGAGCTGTTACTGTGGTCGGAGTTCAGGGTTGTGGAGTTAGGCCTGTAAGAAACACACTAACCCCAAAAGCGATAGTCTAGTTTTTCTTATCCAGCTGAAATTAATGTTGAAGAGGAAGCTGGGACTGTGTTCCTCTAAACCTTCTGGACTGGTTTGAACAGCATGAGCTCTAGAAAATTTACACATTTTTGAATGCCAGTGGTCCTTACACGCTCAGGTGAGGATTTGAGTAGGCCTCTGGTCTCTCTGGTTCTCCTCATGCTGGACTGTCCTGTCTTCCAAAAACATCCTTAATTTCAGTGTATTTTTTTCAAAATACTTACTGTCATCATCTAGTGCCCTCAGCTTTGATGAGACAAGCTTACACAGGGAAATACCTTCTCTAGAAGTTCAGGGGAGCAGGAATTTTGCTATTAGGTCATGGCAGATTCAGGGCAAATGGACCTGCTGGGGCTGCTGCAGCTTGGCCAGGTTGTCACCTGTGGGGCCAGGTGTCCCCACTCCCTCCTGCCTGGAGGTGCATGGGACCTCTTCCTACCCAGGGGTTTCGTGGGATGCCTGCATCTGGGCCTGCCCAGCATTTGGATTTGTCTGTGAGTCAGGAAGGTGATTCTGGTCATCTGAACCCCCCTGTCAGCAAACTGGGATAACACACTAGTGTGTCCTTGAGAAGTTGCTTTGCTTTTGAGGTGTACATGCTTTTTGAGTTTGAATATCTTACGTGTTTCGTGCACACGTGTGTCAAAAAGTGAGGGGATTGTGATGAACAAGCAAGCAGAGTATTTTTTAGTGGGAACCTCAGAAAGGTTTCAAGAAGAAAACACCCAAACATTATTTTGTAATATTTTAGTGTCTTTGGCAGATGTGGTATTTGAGACATCCCAGAACTGGAGGAATAGTAAGATGCTGATAGGTTTGGCTTGGCCTGCACTGTGCAGGTGCCACTGGAAGCCCCAGGGGGGCTTGGATGTATGTGTTCTCTGAGGCAGTCAGGGCTGATATTTGGATATCTAAATAATATGATCAGGATAAGTGATTTATTTATATATAGTTACGATAGAAAAGGCAGTAAGATCTCTTAGTCAATAATAATGCTTATACACCTTGTAGTGGGGTGGGTTATTTAGGGGAAAAGTCAAGAGCTTGGGGGATTTTTTTCTGTGTTTTGAGCTTAGTAATTAATGTTAAATCCTTGGTGTGGAGCAGGAGGCCAGTGGCAGTCCCATCATGTTTGGTGGCAGGAGAGCCCAGCTGTTTCCTGGCTTTCTCCAGCTTTTTACATCTTCTGGCTCTGAGAAAACAGCTTTGGGAAGGAGAGGGCTTTGAAGTTTTCTTCTACAGCTGGGACAAAACCCATTAGGGGATTCTAAACTGAGGTGTTGGTATGATTATTTTAATTGCTCTTAAGATATCTAAATGTTCATTTTCATAAATCAAATCACAGCTTCAGAATAATTATGCTGTGCTTTTGGTTAGTTTTCATTTGATCAGAGTCACTGCAATGTCTAGCTCAAGTTTTATGTGACTCATCTGCAATTTAAATACCTATTACCAGAATTTTCATGTGCTTGGTGTGATTAAGTGATCTAATTAAGGTATTGTATTGAATTTGTCTTTGGGAGCTGATCAGACTGGTATAAACCATAACTTCCCTGAAACTTTGTAGTTACACAGGGGTCCATCCAGAGCCTTTTTCTTAGTATTTAGCTTAACTATGTGACAGACGAGTTGAAGGCTGCTGTTTGACAGGTCTGGAAGGGGACACTGGGTCAGTGCATAGAGGACACCTGGAAGGTAACCTCAGTGCCTCTACCCCCATGGCTCTGTTGCTGATACACGAATTTCTGCAGTGGGGTGGAACAGAACTCGGGGAAAGCACCTGCCTTCCGTGGCTGGATTAGGTTACTGTACATCGTAGGTTACTGGAGCCTTGTTGTTGTTTATGTGTACATGCCCATGCCCCCTGAGTTATTTTGGGCTCCATCACATGGCTTGATCACTTTCATTTTCATCCCAGTGAAATTCTTTGATCTGTGGCAGTTGTGACATTCGTCTCTTCTCGGCAGGCTGCTGGTGTTTACAGTGAATAGGTTGGATACCTTGTGTAACAGGTACCATTGACTCACAATTAAGAACTTCTGAGTTATTTTGTGCCATGGTTGCTAAACATTTGAATTGGGTTTTCAGTTCTGTTAGTGAACACTGTGCTACTTTTGTGTGTAGAAATGGTGGGAGGTTTTAAATGAAAGTTGAGTTCAGTAACACAAAGGTAGGACCCCATTTGAAAAATGCCATGTAGTGCTCTGCTGCAGCCTGTCTCAGTCCTGTGCAACCAGCTGAAGCACTTAACTGCAGTAACCTGCTGCTGCTAAAGTCCTCCTGTGGGCACTGGTAAAGTGCAAGGGCTTTGTTCTGCCACAAGAAAGGAAATATAAAACAACTTTAGACCAGCTCATTTGGAGAACATAATTGTGTTGTGATTTTTCCTTTAGAAGTAGCAGCTGCTTGGAAAGCTTGGGAATGTGCACAATTTTTACTTGTTTTTTCTTTTCCTCTCCCCCTTGTAGGTATGGCCTCACAAGTCTTGGTCTATCCACCATATGTTTATCAAACCCAGTCAAGTGCCTTTTGTAGTGTGAAGAAACTCAAACTAGAACCAAGCAGTTGCGTGTACCACGAAAGAACCTACCCGCAAATCTATGTGAATGGTAAAAACTTTGGAATTTCTCCCCACAGGGTTAGTACTTTCTTTCAGACTAAAAACCCATTTGATAGACCTCGAGGACAGAGCTTTTGGTTGCAGTCAAATGCTGTTGCTTTAAAAGATACTGCAGGTGCTACAAAAGCATTGGCGGTGTGGGCGCAGCAGCCTCAGCTGGAGGCCCCTCGGGCCGGGACGCAGGGAAGCTGGTCGGATATCCTGGAAGGAGCCCGGCGATGCGGATTGAAGCGTAAGAGCGAGGAGCTGGAGAGGCAGAGCAGCACGATGCAGATCGTTGACGAGCTGTCCATCCTGCCTGCAATGCTGCAGAGCGGCGTGGCCAACCCGGTGACGGTGGTGGCCACGGCCGCGGCGTCCAAGCAGGGTGGTACCGGCGGGGACGGGGATTACCAGCTGGTGCAGCACGAGGTGCTGTGCTCGGTGAAAAACACCTACGAGGTTCTTGATTTCCTGGGACGAGGGACCTTTGGACAAGTAGTCAAGTGCTGGAAAAGGGGGACGAATGAGATTGTGGCGATCAAAATCTTGAAGAATCATCCTTCGTACGTGCGCCAAGGGCAGATAGAAGTGAGCATCCTAGCGAGGCTAAGCACTGAAAACGCTGATGAATTTAACTTTGTGAGAGCCTATGAATGCTTTCAGCATCGTAACCATACTTGTTTGGTTTTTGAGATGTTGGAACAGAATTTGTACGACTTCCTGAAACAAAACAAGTTCAGCCCTCTGCAACTGAAAGTAATAAGGCCTATTCTGCAACAAGTGGCCACTGCACTGAAAAAACTAAAAAGTCTGGGTTTAATCCATGCTGACCTCAAACCAGAGAACATTATGTTGGTGGATCCTGTTCGGCAGCCTTACCGGGTCAAAGTCATAGACTTTGGGTCTGCCAGCCATGTATCAAAGACTATTTGTTCAACTTATTTACAATCTCGGTATTACAGGTAGGTGTCTTTTACTTTGGTTTTTTTACCTGTTACGGAACAAGGTTTTAGCATTTCTTAATGGCTTAAATAATTGCTCCTCCAGGTAACTGGTAAGAATAATTTGGAAAGGATAAAACCATCTAGGAATGTGAAAATTCTGTAGTCGGTTGCCATTTTGAATGTGAATACTTCCTTTGAATGTTTTTATAGTGTTGTCTTTTTCCTGGCAGTATATTTTGTGTTGCTCTCTGAAGTCATCACTTACTGTTATTTTCAGACCTCTGACACTGTTCAAAAGGAAAAGGAAAAAAATTATCTTTCAGTTGCTTGTTTAGGATGTATTTCCAGCCTTCCTAACATGATGGATTTTTTTTCCTGTAAGCAGCTGGACAGTGTCCTAGAAGTGCCATGTTTCTATATCCTGTTGCCAAAGATTATGTAAATGCCTCTGTTTTTCTCCAGCGCTTGTAAATATTTTCCTTAGTTCTTAGAAACTCCATTCTGACTGAGTGCCTTCAGCAGCTGTGGAGTTCAGTAAACTTCTGGAGTTAGGGAGTGATAGGATGCTTAAATATTTAGGGTGATACCAGAAGGGTTTTTAAAGTGATTTTGGTATATGGTTACATTCTACTTTTGCCTGAAAATTCAATAGTTTTGTTGGTTTTTTTTTTTAACTTTCATTGAATAGTTACCCAATCTGCCTAACATTTAAAAATTATCAATATTTAGTCCTTTTGTTTCCTTATAAGCTAAACTTGTCTTGATTGAAGATCTTTTTCAGTTCTGTTTTGCATCATTGGCACAAGTATGTGCTGTGTATTGCCCGTCTGCTGATTGAGTAAGAAGCTAGTAGACTAGGACAATGAGTACTTGGAAGAAAATTTTAAATATTTTACAGCTATTCATGCTGGAAATGAAAACTTGTGCCCTACAATTCTAGGCTTGATGAAATTAGTGATTGGAGTTCATGCCAGAGGAATCTATTTTTTGCCTGTAGCTTGTAAACAAGAATGCTGCATGTACAGTGCTCACATAAAATATTCTGATTCATCACCTGCGTTCTCTATTACTTAATTGCAAACTGCAGCAGAGGATTTAAAAACTTCATGAAGTTCATCAAAAGAAAACTAAATTGGGAAACGTTATGGATTGATGCATGTTCGCATTATACAAAAATATATATGAGAGGGAATAAAAAGTAAAGTACCTTGGGAGTTCATTTTGGTGTAAAAGCTGTACACCACTTAGGACACTAAGTGATTTTGGGCCTCTCAGGACAAATCAGGCCAGGCTTGCAAAGGTGGCAGGAGTTCTGAGAGGCTCTAGACAAGTGTTTTAGCTTAAGCTGGTTTGTGCAGAATCATAATCCAGCAGATACTTGAGGTGCATGGTCTGAGAATGTTTTCCTACCCATTTTGACTTTTTTATTTATTGAAGCAGTTATAGATTATTGTGAGCTATTGCCGTTTTTCACTCTTTCTCCCCAAGAACTGACAGAGGGGAAGGCTGTGGACAGCCAGGCTGGGTAGTCCTATTGTAGTACTTTAGCCTCAAATAACTGCTTCCAGCATTTTTTTCCTGTTTCAGATGGCTCAATAGACAAGATATTGTTCTTTTTTAGTTGCCTACATAAAAGTACAGTAGCTGTAGTTGTGTTTTACTTGCCTTGATGTTGCTTTGCAGCTCTCAATAGAATTCTGGTGTGCTTATGGGTTTGGGCAGGTCCATTGCTGGCAGGATCAGAGTGCAACTCCTTGGCATTTACATGCTTGTATTGCACTCAAATGTGAGTAAGTGGGGTTCCCTGAGGGTGTTTATTCAAAATAAATAGCATCCCCCAAGAATAAGATAAGATTTGTCAGTGCATGCCCTTGTCTTGTCTCAGTGATGTTGAATGATATGGACTCATGGCATCTGCACCTAAAATTTCCTAGTTAGTAAGTTATGCTTAAGTGCTTTGTAAATATTCAGGTTTCAGATGATATTCTTTGTTTTGTATAATAATACATAATATTGTATAGTAATATTATATAATATTTGTGTAATAATAGTATTCTTTGTTTTGTATTAATATTAAAGTAGCATCTAAATCAGAAATGTTTGAAAATAAAAAGGAAATAAAAAGAAGAGAAATGGTTAGGGTCCATCTACTTGAAATTTTTTTTCAATATATTAAGTATTGGTTGAGGTAATTTTGGAAAAAAAACCCAAAACCCTAACAACTATACTTCAAAATCACTTTCAGCAGAAGTTTTTACTTCTGAACAGGTTTTCAGCATGCTGGATTTCATCACGGATGCGTAGCTCTCTACCAATTGTGTGATTAAAACTAACTTTGTGTAGACTGTCAATTCCTCAAAATTTCTTTTTGTTCCATTGAAAGCACCAGACTTGTGTAAATAATAGCAGAAAATAGGGATTTGATTGAAAAGGTTTTAAAATAGATGATGCTGGGGAAATTTGAAGGGAAAAGTTTTACAGAAGAATGAGAAGGGCCTTCAGAGAGTATCTTGTATTAAGATGGCATTTATTTGAAGAGAGATGGTCCATTTGGTCAGTCAAATAAGGAGCAGTTATATATAAAATATAACTGTACTTAAATGCTTTTTTTGTATTAGAAGAGCCTGGGAGTGGTAGTGCAGGTTTGACCTGTTTGACTATGACATGTTGAAACAAGTTTTACAAAACCGAATAAAGAGAAAAGGTTGTTTGTTTGTGATGGTTTTTGGTTTTGTTTTGCTGGTTTTTATTTTTTCCCCCAGTCTGATCATTGCTTCTGTTTTTTTATTCCTGGGACCATAGGGAACTGATGAACATGAGAATGGAGAATGCTCCGAAGTCCAGTGTTAGGGTGTTTATTTTGAATTCTAGTGTCACTATTTTGATTCTGTAAGAGGATGTGAGTAATGAGTTGGAAAAATGAGTAATAAGAGGATTAGGACTTAAGGAGAGGAACATTATTTAGCCAGGTGAATGGATAATGGGCTGGCTTACCTTGGCCTATAGCAGGACGAGAGGTGACCTAATGATGACTGTTGGAGATATTGGGGCACTTTTGTATGAGGAGAGGTCCTAAACAAGTGAAACTAAGCAAGCAGAAAAATGGAGACAGACTGTGTGGAGAGATAATGATTTGATGTTTTCCTGTTTCTGTTTCAGCTTTGTCAAGCAAAGAGAAAATAAGAAACTGGTTAAAAGAAGTGTGAAAAATAGATTTTGACATTTTTTTGCCTTTTAGAAGATCCTGTTTGTTACATTGTTAGAAATTGTATGTGTGAGTATGGCTGTGAATAAATACTAGCTACGATACACTGTCTGAAGTCAGAGATGATTTTTTATTTGTTTTAAAGATCAGATGTTATTCTCAACGCTCTTTCCCTGAAAGGCAGTGTCTGTGCTTACATGCTCTTTTTATGTTGGTCTGGATTTTAATAGCTGTGGACTAGAGAGATCTGGTATTTGAAGCCCTTTTCTGCTTCTGGCCTCACACGTTAAGACTGCTGACCTTTTATGAGTGATCTAAGGAGGTAAATAACGAAGCAGTGTGTACATTTTCAAAAGAAAATACCCTTACATACAGCGTAGATGATGAAGCTTTTGTCATTTATGGAAATGGTATGAGAAGCGTGTTGCTGTCCTTTTGGTCAACTGTGCCCCAAATCATGAGAAGGGGAGTGTTGCATCCCAAATGGAAAGTGCAGTGCAGGCTGTGGAGGAGGAGAATCAAAACATCTGTTTCTAAGCCTGGTCTCTTGTGCTCATCTGGCAAGGCAGAAAGTTTTCCCAGGGCATGGTGTTCCTCTCTCTGGAAGTCATTTTCTTTTGTTTTGCCTCTTTCCTGAGGTGAGATGCATTTGGGAAAGCAGGTGTGAGAAGAGAGGCTTCAGAATGGCTGCCTGCAATTAGCAGTAGCTTCCAAGAGGGGTGGAGTGAGATGGTCAGGGTGGCACTGCCCATCTGCCTCAGGGAACCAGGTTACCTTCCTTTCTGTTGCCATGGGAAGCAGTGCCCTTCTCAGTGCATGGCACTCAGAGGTGACTCTTCAGGGAATTACTGCTCAGTTGTTTTTTTTTCAAAGGGAATCACCTTCGTATTGATTTAATTTGGGTTGTCTTCCTGAGGGGATTTTGAGAATGAGTCTTCAGTAAAGCTTACCAAACTCATCATTCATAAAATTCCTGTAATACTGTGGATCTGTCAGGAGCCATTGCAGGCGTAGGAGTGAGTGTGCTGCTTCGTTGCAGGCTCCTGCAGCACAGCCCCCAAAGGGGGTTCAACAGTGGCTCATCATCAGCCCCTGTAGCTGCCTCCATGGTTATTTCACCTCCTGACTCCAAGGAAAACATCATCACCCTTGTGCTGTGTCAGATTATATTGCTGGTAGAATGCAGCTGGAAGCTTGACTGAAAATGTGTTTTGAGGATAAGTGATGCCTTCTGAAGCTAAACTAGAACAGAGACTAGACAGAGCAAAAGAATAAAGTAGGTATTTATTAGGATTTCTCTTATACCTTGGGCAGTATAAGAACCCAGCCAGGCCTACACCCCAGGTGAACCCAAAATGGTCACAAAATGGATGACTGGTTACGAGATCTCCCTTTTTTTTTAAGTTTTGGTCCATTTGTATATTGGACTTCGTTGTTGCATTCCAGCTTTAGCCCATGCAGTCCCATCCTGCTTGCTTTTCCCTCTTCAGCCCACGTTGTTTGTGCTCTTGGACTGAGATTTGGATCATTTGTCCCCAGCTGGAGAAGGAATTGTTTTGTCACCCTGCTCTGTGCAGAGAGCTCAGCATCCCCTCATGTGAGGCCCAGACCCACCCACTAAAGCAGCACAGAATCAGAAAAATACAAAAGCTAAAACCTGAGGCATCATAAGCCCTTGGTTTCCCATCCAAAAGATGTTCCTTTTGACATCCAGGGATCTGCAGTCAAACTGTTCTTTAGCAAAGCCAGATTCATTGGGAAAACAAAGGGAGTGGGAAACAATATAAGTGATCTCCAGATTAAACTGGGCACC